AAGAGTAACAGTTACCCATTGGCATGATTCTCATAACTCTTGAAATTGTTGCCTTTTCTGCTGTCTTCTAAGTCTTTCAAGGTAGAATTTTTTGTTAATTAAAAGAACAATAAGGTTTATATGTCAAACATTATCATATTCTCTTGACAGTAGGACCAGTAAGCTCCAAGTTTACTTCTGAATTTGAATTTGATTATTTTAGATGTCCAAAATTACCAGAACATAACTTTAACTTTTTTATTAAATAGCCTGTAATATGATTTTTGAATAAACCTAGAATATTTGCTTTATATTAATGTCTTTAATTTAATATTTGATGTAACATTTGACTTGGAGTTGATTTTTGTGTTCTATTTATTGCAGCATCTCTCTTTATACATAGAATTTTTAAATGGCTCGCAGATGTTCTATTATTTTATTAGCATGCTGTTAATTCAATTTATAAGTCAATTCTAGGAGTTAGAATAATCAAGTCAGAATAATAAGAACAGTTAACTATATATGAACTAATGCACGTATGCATGTATATGTATAACTAGGTACACACACAGTTAGGCAGACTCATATAATGTGTTGTCTTAATTGATTTATATAAATGGTGAATATCTTTTTGTATATTCCTTTTCTAAGAGGTCATTTTATGAGATTTTATTCATTTGAGAACCTATATTTTAGTTTCTGTATTCAACTTTTTCAGAGCAAATAAATATAGTTGGGTGGTTTTCTGGATAACTGTTAACAAAAATGTTGGCAATACTGAATTGAAATAATACACATTTTCAAAGTTTTATAGAGTGAAAAGAAATTATTTTTAAGTATAAAATTTTGGATTTAACCTTTCAAAAATTAGTATGTTTATTATATTTTGATCCTTTTTTGTTATTAAGAAAACTTACTGAATATATTTAAGTAAAATTATTTTAAGTTCCAAAAGCAAAAGAAAATAGCTATTACTATTGCAAAATGTTTATATTTCTAGCATTTGAATATCTTGGAAATAAAAAGAAAACACATAAAAAAAGAACAAACTGGATCTTTCAAATACTGTAGTTGGGAAAAAAATAAGTGTAGGTATAGGAGATGTAGATTCTGAAAGTCTTTGTGATACTATCAGCTATGGAGCATATATATATGTAAGTACTCTGCAATTTCAGTAATTACAGTGACCAAAGCAGAAAGCATTTAAAGACATTGATTTTGTGAACTTTAGATTACTTACTTGAAATATTAACCATACTTATATTTTATAAATATTATATAGTCAGATGTTATCATTTTTTCTGCCTACTTTTTTTGCTATAGACCAGTATTATGGATTTGGCAGAGAGAATATGAAAATGTCATTGTAGTTCATTCATTATAACTTCTTTTCCCTCCAAATTTATTAGTAGTGACTAACTTCATATAATTTGAATCTCATCTACTTTTTTTTCTTCATTTGTACTGTTTTGAAGGTGGAAGTTATTCCTATTTGTCTGCTAATATTTCTTTCTCTTGAACTTTGGCTAATAGCTTCTTTAGTAGTCTTTAGTAGGTTTTATGTCATTATCTGTTTATGATAGCCATTTGTTAGTACATTGCTCGTTAGCACTGCTATTTTTAGGATTTTTTTCTATAAAATTTCTTTCACTATAGGATTTAATCTTAGCATATCTTAAAGAAACTAGAATATTTTCTTTTCTTACCCTTTTCCATAAATGCATACCTATCCCTCTGATATAAATGTCTATCCTTACTTTAAAAAGTGAGACAAGAGTTCTAACAATTTCATAATATTTAGTTTATTAATTGTGCGGTAATAATTAAAATACATGATTCTAGTTCTTTTTTCTTAAAGGTCTCTAAAAACGTTTTGCTACTCTTTTGTGTTTGTTACTTTAGGAAGAGATTTATTTCTGGGTAATATTTTAAATAACTTATTATATGTAGATGAACTTCATTTTTAAAAGGAAGATATTCACTCATGTTTGTTGTCTTAAATCAGTTCTGATTATGGAGCTCTGTCTGTTAAAACTGCCTGTTCGGTTTAGGATTGCCACTTGGGATTTCGACATTATAGACTTTTACTTATTACTGGGAGAGCCAGCATACTGATAGATTTTTTCCCCAAAGCAGTAGGAGGAGTTAGCTCTTAATCTGACAGTTTCTTGCTGAAGCTGCTAAATTCCTCAGAAACACACAGATTGTGATCAATTGGCTTTTGGTGCTTAAAGTATCTGTTTTATATCTTAGAGCTAAATGGCACTGTTTCATAGTAGATTAAGTTCACATAAACAGTCAAGTTCTTGATATAGTGGGTGCTAGGCAAGCTTTCCATTGCTTGGATTTTCGACTCAACTGTTTTATCTTCAGTATTTTAAGGAATAGAGAAGTTAATTAGGCATATTTGGGGACACTCTTTTCCATCTTCTTGGAGTTTTGGTAATAAGCATTGAACTAGCATTTCCATTATCTTTGAATTTTGGTAATAATAATTTTAGTATAAAAATATCAATATATAGAAAAGCATATTTGCCAGTATTAGCAAATGGTTATCCTGTTCTTTAATTTTATTATTATTGCTTTTGTTTGCATAATGAATTTTGTGATGGAAATTTTTACCTATCCATTTGGAGAGGTTTACCTATTAAAAAAAAGGCCTTAACTTATTCCTGTTCGTCATTAATAAAAAGACTCACCACTATCACACTTGTCAGAGAATTGAGTTTAGTGGAAATGATTCTTGCCCTAGGTAAATAAGAAACTTTAAGGAATTAATTTTTTTAACAAATTAAAGAATTTAATTTTTTAACAAACTAGTTAAATTTATTTATATCTTACATGATCCATTTCATGTTTCAGATTAATGTGAACAGTCAAATTCTCAATATACTAGGTCCTAGTAAATTCAAATACAAACAAAAGAAAATTTTTAATAAAGCAATCCCTTAGCATCCATCATCAAATTTTTAATTTTCTCTGTTGTAATTTAACCCATATATTTTTATTTTGAACTCAGTATTTAGTAGTGTCTTCTCTACATTTATAAGTATATATCTTTGTATATAAAAGTTTCTTGGCCAGTTACTTTGAATTCTTTAATTTGTCTTTTTACAAATATGATCATTAGTTTTCTTCTCTTTGGATTTTTCGTCATGTGTTGATACATAAATGTGGTAAGTTTGTTCAGAATGTTCTTTTTGATTTTAACATTAAGCAGTACATTGGAACTTCAGTGTCACACAGTTTATTAATAAGTAGAATTCTTTTTAAGGTAAGTTGTCCTAGACTTCATTTAGGAGCATTAAAAGTGCTTTTATAGTATGTATACAAATATTTAATTGTATTACGGGAGGGTGTTAAAAGAATTGTTAGAATGAATCTTGTTATACTATAATGAAGCAGAGGAGTTCCTGGGTGGTGTAAAAGGTTAACAAGCTCGACTGCTAACTGAAAGGTTGGAGGTTCAAGTCTACCCAGAGGTGCTTTGGAAGAAAGACCTGGCAGTCTGCTTCTGAAATATCAGCCATTGAAAGCCCTAGGGAGCACAATTCTAATGTGATAGACATGGGTTCACCATGAGATGGAATTGACTCCACTGCAGCTGGTAGTCAGTGTGAAAAAGCCTGAGATTAGAAATTTAGGAGCAAGTTATTTTTACCTTTTTAAGAATTTCTTTACATCAAAATCATGGTATTAATTGTTTATCTTATGTTTGGCTTTTAAGTTAGCAGGAGAAAACCCAAGTTAGCATTAAAAATTGGTTGTGGATAAATCTGAGAGTGGTTAATTTATGTGCAGGCAATTCAGTGTATTTAGTGAGAAAATGTGATAATTTTTATGAAGGACTTTTGAATATTCTAAGGAAAAAAAGGTTCTTTATAAAATCAAATTCTGATGCTGTCACTGAAAAATTTGCTTGTCACCTTCTGAGTACCATTATACTTTAGATCACTATTTTATTATGGATGTTCATCTGATTACAGTAGGTGCTTACTTTGTTAAAACACATGAAATAAAATAATAAAGCCATGAAGCATACAAAATAAACCAATTAAGTCTGTATTTAAACCACCACTTACATTTCTCACGGAAGATATTAATCTACTTTATTTGAACACATATGTAAGGTGTTTTACCTGAATAACAAAATATGGTAAGGTAATTGTTGAATGAATTAGACTCAGTGATTTAGGGGCTGATTCAGATGTTTAAAGTTGCTATATATTAATGACTTATGACTACATTATTTGACATACATTTGAGAGTCCAGAATTTGGAGCATCCAGATCATAGTGGTCATTTTAACAATAATTTTAAAAATTAAAATCTTGAAAATAAGTTACCTGGTTTAAAGTATAAAGAGATGGGAAAAACTTTTCATTTTTTTCAACGTATTATAAAATACCCATGTTTCTTAAGCGTTTATCAGTCTTTCATGAGCTTTAGATTAATTAAAAATATGTTAACTATCTTAGTTTTTAGTATTATACTTAGATAATTGCTGATAATTTGAAATGTCTTATACTATGTTAATATTTAAGTATATGTTATGGGAGCAGTTAAATTACAATAAACTTTGATTATTCATGCCAGGGAGAAATATAGATAAAGAGAAAAACAGCAATAAATAAATTTAATTTGAATATTTTCATGGCAGATTTACTTTTGTGAATATTATTTAAGGAAAATAAAAAACAGTGGAATGTGTAATTGTAAGCTAAGTGACATCTGGTGAAGATGGTGTAGAAACATCAGGAAGTCAGAGAAAAGTAAGCTGGGGATTCAGAGTTTTTTGTCAATGAAGCATATATATTATTGAGAGTTGAATATAGTAAGATAACCTTTGATGAGTGAGTTTGGTATTTCACAAGATTTATTTAACGTTTTTTCTTTGCTTCTCCTTAATTGAAAAATTATGCTGCTTAGCTCTAAGTAACATTTTAAAAATATAAGTAGTAAGTAATACATTATATTCTTTTTCCTTTTCTTTTCTCTCTCTCTCTTTTTTTTTTTTTTAGGGCATGAGTATTATAGAACAATTAGACCCTGTATCATTTAGCAATTACTTGAAGAAATACCATAATACAATATGTGGAAGACATCCCATTGGGGTATTATTAAATGTGAGTATCCTTATGAAGCCTTGACTTTTAACATTTGATCCTGTGATGTTTCAAAATATCTTAAATGTTAAATCGTCTATGATACCTTATTATCCCTGATTTTATGTACATATATATAGTCAGTTTTCTTTCTCATGTACCTTTAAGTTAATAGGATTTCCACTGTTCTGGATATTTGAATAAAGTTATTTATTACTGGAATACAGGTCAATACTTTCTTTTAAATACAGAAAGTTATTTAGGATAGAGACCCCGTATTTTCTCTTAACTCTCAGCCAATTCCAATGTGCTGTTTTACAAATGGAGCCCTGGTGGCTTAGTGGTTAAGCACTTGCCTGTTAACTGAAAGGTCAGCAGTTCGAATTCACCAGCTGCTCCTTGGAAATCGCATGGGGTAGTTCTACTCTGTCTTGTAGGGTTGCTGTGAGTCAGAATTGACTTGATGGCAATGGGTTTGGTTTTACAAATATCAATCAGAATGACTTTTCAAGAGATACGGTCTTATTAATTTTTTGGTTTTATTTAGACTGTAAAAAAAAAAATAAACGGAAACATTTAACCCTTGAACTTTAGAAGTTTCATAATAAAGCAAGACAGATGACATATACAGTCAGCCCTTCATATCTGTGGGTTCTGCATCCATGGTTTCAACCAACTGTGGATCGAAAATATTCAGGGAAAAAGAAAGAAAGTTTCAAAAAGCAAAACTTGAATTTGCCACGGACCAAGCACTATGCTGAATCCAAGTGAATGAAATGATGTATAGACGTAGCCTGCTGTAGCCTCCTACCATTTCACAAATCCTGTCTCTCTCCAGCACTTGTTGTTTGAGCGTTGTTTGCCTCACATCACGTCATTATTCCCTAAACAATATAGTACTGTATAACAACTATTTACATAGCATTTACATTATATTAGGTATTACAAGTAATCTAGGGATGATTTAAAGTATACGGGAGGATGTGAGTACGTTATATACAAATATTAAGCCATTTTATACAAAGGACTTGAGCATCTGAGGATTTTGCTATCTGAGTGGGTGGGGTGGGAGTTGGGGGGTGGGGGTGGTCCTGGAAGCAGTGCCCTGGTGATACTGAAGAACTACTGTATATTTTTCTCTTTACAACAAAAATGATAATATTTCATTTGAAGAAGCAGCAGTTTTAATGAGCTGGATTTTTGAAAGGAAAATAGTATTATTTTTCCCCCTAATAAATAAAACCATATGAAATTTCTGAAAGAAAATGTGAAACTCTTAAGAAAAAGGAGAGAATGTGTATAGTCAAGAATGAGAGGAGGAAGTAGCAATGGGCTCATTTGGTGGGAGAGACGGAAATAATGGTGAAGGTAATATAGTCCATAATAGTCTAGGGCAGAGCCTTGAAGTCTGGTGTTACTTTAATGGGATTTGTATGTTGTAGGTTTTTAGGGAAGATTTTGTCTTAAGCAATACTGATTGAGTGGAAGAAAAGCCAGCCAATGGCTTGATTTCTGAAATTTAAACTATAATAAACTGCACTAATTTCCTAAAATTTGAATTGAATAAATTTTTATAAAGTAAATGATGAGCCAATCCACAATTGAAATAAAAACTATAGTACACCCCTTAGATCTGGGACTTAATTTATATACATTTCAAATTTAGTCAAAGTCACACAAAGAAAAGGCTCCCAGATACCAAGCCAGAAGTGGCGAAGATTTGGTTTAGAGGATCTTTTTGGTTTGTTTTTTAAAGTGGCCTTATTAAATACAGGGAGAGGTAGGGTGGAAGATGACTGATACTTATTTATCAAGAAACTAGGAGAATTTCTTTGAAAGAATTTCTTTGAAAGAATTAAATGAGAAATTTTTTTTCTGTTTAAAATGAGAGAACAACAGAGATTCAGGAAACAAATGAGTGAAAAGTGGTAAGAGATCTAGGCTTCATCAGTGAAGTGGACAAAGTTAGATCACCAGCGTATTTAGAGGGCTCACTTGTCATTATCAAAATTTTCTTTTTCTAGGCTATCACAGAGCTCCAGAAGAATGGAATGAATATGAGCTTTTCCTTTTTGAATTATGCCCAGTCAAGCCAGTGTAGAAGCTGGCAAGACAGTTCAGTGAGTTATGCAGCTGGAGCACTCACGGTCCACTGAAGCTCTGAATCCTCAGGGATGCCACCTGCACTTACTCATACTCTGTCTAGGGTCCCAGCCTAGCCCTTACAAAGATACTGTTCTTGGTTTGGGGGGATTCTGAAACCTCAAACTAATAGAACTTTTCTTCTGTTCTTTTCTAGTAGGTGTAGTCCTTCCTTAATTTCAACTCATTAAAAAAATGCTTTGTTGTTTAGGGCAGTGGAAAGATGGCTGGCATCAAAATATTTTGATCAAAAAAGATGACAATGTAAAGGCCCAATTGTGGCAGACAGTTTTTTGAAAGTAACTTGTGAAGCATTTACCATATCTTAAATTTGCACTCTTTGCATACTTGTGCACATATATTCCGCTTTCAGAATAGTTTTGCAAATTGTATACAAACAAACAAACAAAGGGGTGGAAGCTTTTTAATAAAGAAATTGCATTTATAAATGTTCTGTATTAGAATATAATAAATCTCCAGTTATGGTCGATTACTACCCATGTACAACAGATACCTTCTATCTTAGTTGCTAATAAAGGGCTACACAACTGAAAATAGTCTGATTTAAACTTATTGTTCTGTGGTATATATGAAAATTGTTTTTTTATTAATCCCATCTCAGAATTTTTATGTTAAAAATGGTAACCCTCAGCTCTTATGTAAAAATATTTTAGGATGTATTTTATATTTTACATATTTACGTGATTTTTTTTGTCACCAAAATCAGTATCATAATTTTAAAGCTAGCATTTAAAATTACATAGTTTGTCTTTTTATGTGTGATATCCCTTTGTGTCAAATACTATATTGTAATAGAATATAAATTCAAGATTGAAGATTGTAAAAGAACATAGATATAGTTCCTCACTTTCAGAGATCATGCTTGGTAGGCAATAGTCTGCAAATGAGGAAACGCTGAAGAAAGTGTTCTTAGTCTTTTTCAAATCACTGCAGACCATACACTGCTATGCTTTTTCAGTGCTTTTTGCAATTTGATTCTTGAATATTTAGCCAGAAATCATTAACAACAACAAAACCACTGCATTTTCTTGTAGTTTTACAAAAAAAATTTTTTTTAAAGATTTTTGGTGCGGCTCTTCCAACTAAAATAATGGTATGGTGATGTATTTCTTTCTTTAACATAGACCAATTCTATTCACTTTGGCAAAACCTTTAATTCATTTTGTTAATTATTTGACCATCATGCTTGTACTGGATTATAACTATTTTAACCTAACACTGGGTATCTACATTACATTGGACAGCATTAATATCTTCAGTGATATGCCAGAATAGCACAACTTTTAGATGTCTTGCACCAATTTTATTTAAAGACTTGCCTTTTTTATTTATTAAATATCAACTTTTTATATTCAAGAATTTGAGGTAAAATAATACTGCCTTTCTGATTCAAAATTACCCACCTACATGTGTGGAAATTATACTCTTACATATTAGTTATTTATTTCCCATAATTTAGAAATACTTTTGAGTACTATAGAAATTATTCCTTGCTTTATAGACTATACAAATTTCAAAATTGACTACAGAATGAATTTTTAAAGTTTTCTGAGTATAAATTAATACATGATTATTATAAAATATTTGGAAAATACTAAAAATTATAATGAACTGCAGTGTCCCTAACCAGAGATAACAGTGTTAATATTGTGCTGTCTTTCCTTTCAGTTTTGTCTGTGCCATATGTGTGTGTGAATGGGAGTATATGTGTTTGTACGTAGCAACAAAATTGAGATTATATTGTTGTGTACCCTGCTTTATATATTTTTACATCATATCGTTAGCACTTCCCCATATCTTTGAAAATGTGAGCTTTTTAAATGACTGACTAATATGCCATTGTATTAATATACCGTGATTTAACCAGTTGTCTCTTTGGATATTAGGTTACTTTGACTCCTTCACAATTATCAATAGTAGTAGGATGGACATCCTTGTATGTAAAATTTGAACTCTTTGTTAGACTAGTTATTTAGAATATATTCATGAAAATGAGATTATTTGGTTTAGACAGTGAGAACTTCTTAAGCTTTTTAAAATATTGCCAAATTATCTTTCAGAAGGTTTTTACCAAATTAGCAGTGCTTGAGTACTCATCATACGGTACCTTCACTGGTAGTATTTTTTTCTGATCTTTGACAGTTTGTCAGGCAGTTTAATTGGTTGTTTCTTTGATTGTTCTAATAAGAATTGCTTTTCAATGAATCTTTTTTTTGTTTTGTAATTCTGCAGTTGATTAAAAAAAAAAAGGTAAGAGGGTATCTAGGTTGGTTGCAGCCCTGGGAGTATGTTTACTGCACTTATAAAACTCTAGAATATTTCAGCATCACCATACCCTTTCCTAGTGTATGAGCCTGTCATTCATAACTGATCATGAAATACAAAGTTCTGAACTGATTAGTTGAGTGTTGGGTACTAGTTCTGCTTCTGCCTTTCCCACTAATTGGGTGTCTGACCTTAAGATATTTCATGTCTTACGGAAACTTTTTCATCTGTACAATGTGGAGGTGATCTCTTAAGCATCTTCCAGTTTGAAAGTACTTTGATGTTATAACTTTACTCTTTAAAGATTCTAGTGTCCCTTCCTGATGTTAAAAACCCACATGATTGAATTAGATTAGAGCTATTATCTTTTGATTTCAAGTCTGCATACATAAAAATGAGTGTTATTTAACACAAAAGAAGAATTAATCTGCATTAGTTAATACAGTTAACATTACTTAAATTGCTGAATTTAAACTTTTCCTTCAAGTGCCTTTAAAAGTGTTTTGTATTTGGAATCTAGTGTAAAGGAAATTATTATGTAGTTCTATAGAATTGCTGCTTTATTATATACTTTTGAGTTACTTGCAACAACTTTTTTTGACCTTAATTGCACAGAGCAACATATTCGTGGATTCTTCACACCACACTAGTGAGTCCTTAAGAAATGTATGTTTAAGATTAGCTCACTGGGCAGGTAAGTAATGCTTTGTCTTTTGTGGGCAACAAATTTTCATAGAAAAGTAGGACAAAGGACTTTTTTTTTATATATATATATTTCAGTGTTTATATGTTCCAGTATGAATGGCCAATGTCCTGAGCTAGTTAATGGTTATTGTTAGAGATTTCAAAATTTGCTTTGATAGCAAATAGTTCATTCCCCTAGATTAGGGGTTGGTAAATGTTTTCTGTAAAAAGTGAGATAGTAAATATTTTAGGCTTTGAAGGCTATATGGTTCCTGTAACAACTATTGGACTTTGCCATCATATCATGAAAGTAGCCATAGACAATATGTACACAAATGATTGTGGCTGTGTTCCAGTAAAAGTATTTATACAAATAGGCAGTTAGTTGGATTTGACCTGCGGACTGTAGTTTGCTGATCTTTGCCCTAAATAATATATGTAATTCACTTGTAATTATGTTTTCCGTCATCCCAACCCTCTGTTAATTTGATGTAGTGTGGTTGGCTGGGTTTGGGTGTTATTTCGGATCATACAGGTAAGTGGGAAGTGGGTATTGGAAACTACGAACTGTTGATAAAAAGAAAAAAAACAGTTGCTGTCAAGTTGATTCTGATTCACAGCGAACCTATAGGACAGAGTAAAACTGCCCCATAGGGTTTCCAAGGAGCAACTGGTGGATACGAACTGCAGACGTTTTGGTTAGCAGCAGAGCTCTTAACCGCTGTACCACCAGGGCTCCAGGAACTGTTGATAGGTAGTGTTAAAATACCCTGAAGGCCTTTTATGCCTGGAAACTTGGAAAGTCTGCCTTGCTACCGTAAGTTAAGAGTGATCAGTGGAGGGTGTGATCAGTTGTTGCAAATTCTATGAATTATTCTAAGTGCTTGGCTACCTAGGTGATGGTAGAGGATGTATCAGATGAACTTTTTGCAAGTTTACCTGACTATGTAGGATGCTAGACTGATTTTTTTTTTTAATTATAAAATATGAGGCTTTTGGAAAAATAGCTACATGTTCTATCACCATCAATTTACTTTAAAAATTATGCCCCTTCCGCCATATTTAGGAGAGACATAAACTCAGAATAAAAGTTATTTACCTTGAATAACTTTAATTTGTTTAAAAAAGTACTGTTCTTTTCTCATTTACTCTAGATCTCGAAAACTTGAGCAAGGAGTAGTATCAGTCTGATAGACTGGCATTTGGGAAGTGCTGTGATACAGTTGCTGAAAGAACCAATGCAGTTATAAAACTATATTATTGATTAGGAGATGTAATAAACCATATATATTCGTCTATGAACACTGAAATTTTTGTATTATTGTGTTAAAATGTAACTACCACATACTAAGAGCAACATTATAAAGTATAGTGTCCATGGGGAGGCAGCTAGAATGATGAAAGGCCTGAATTAGATACTGTGGAGAATGGAAGTGTTTGAAGAAATTGGGGCTATTTATTTTGAAGAAGAGACAGTTTAGAGAGAGAGTTTTCTTTAAATATTTGAGTGTAAGAAAGAATACATAGAATTGTTCCGTTATTTTAGATAGAAAAGTTTGGAGTAAGGAATGGAAGTTTCTAATTCCACATTTACTGTTCTATTTGAGAATTTCTAATAATGAAAATAAGCTCTCCCTCTTGAAATCATTGGAAGTATTCAAATAACAGCTATATTAGTAGTTCGCAAATTAGGGTTCCTAGACCATCAACATCACCTTCACTGGGGAATATGAAATTACGGATCACCAAACTGAGAAAGGTTTCCCTGGGTGGCTCAAATGGTTAAGCCCTCGACTACGAGCCAAAAGGTTGGAGGTTCCAACCACCTAGAGGTGGGTTGAAAGGCCTGCCTAGCAATCTGCTTCCAAAACGTCACAGCCTTGAAAACTCTATGGAGCAGTTCTATCTTGCACACGTGGGTTGCTGTGAGTCGGAATCGACTCTACGGCAACTAATAAAGCTGAAAAAACACTAATGGAATTAGTACAAATGAAATGGAACTTATTTCATTTTTATAAAACTACTTAGGAAAATCATTTTTAAATTAGGATTGATTTTGATCATTTAACACAAGTTTAAATACAGATTATAAATTGATAAGATGATGTTGCTTGTTACTGGTCAAACAACAGCCCTTAGACTAATTACTTTGTTTTAGTCAAAACATTTAGATATGAGGTAAAGTTCCACTATTTCCTAAAATAAATTAAGTTGGCCTTTGAATAGGTGACATATCCTTCTTTTACAGAGATGCTTCTTGAATCTAAAACAGAGCCATTTCAGTAGCAGAAAAGGGTATTGAGGAACTTGCTCTTTTTATACCTATTACTGTCAAAATACTAGAACAGCTTGCGGATAAGTTTTCCCTGTCCACTTCCTCATCTTCCACTCCCATCTCGTACCTGTAAATACAGCTGAGTGGCATGCACACTATCATCAGTAACCGTGTTACATAGTTTGTAACAGCTTCCTCAAGTAACACTGGTAACTAGGACCTCTGCTTCTTTATAAAGTCACTGTTGTAGATGGATTTTGTTTGCCTGCCTGTCTTCATGAGTTCATTGGCATATTCTGCTCGTTGGGTACTGTGTGAAGAACT